CATTAGGTGAACTGTGTGCTCGTTTGTCACACTAATTCTATTAAAAAGAAACCTAGCAAAAACTACACAAGGACACGGCCAGGCACGGAACAATTATGTTGTTTTAATTTTTGTGTGTAAACACTTGCTAAGTGCGGGATTCGATCTCGCGGCCCCGCATCGTTCATAAAATAACATTACACATTTATAAATTGGTTGTCTGGAAACGGCTCTAAAGATCCGAATGAAATTTCGTATGTAGATAACGTTCTAATTTTCAGGTTTATCTGTATAGATCTCATTCGTAAGAAAATAATGAAAACTTTTGTTCTAACGCAGAGCAAGCCTCAGTGGCCCAGTTACTTATATTAGAAATACATTTAGCTTTGACATTATCCGTCTCCATTTACACACCGTTAAGATCTATTTTTAGTTTGAAAACTATATTTTATTTTGCAAAATAATTCGCTGAAACGAATACATTTTGTTCACGACCAATATTTTATATTTTATCTGGGAACTCAAACGAAAGCCTTTGTCTTTTATTAAAATATATACCAGTTAGCGAATGGCCGCCGGTGCGTTCGTTCAATCCATAACAATGGACGACGCTCGATAGCTTTAAGGCGAAAATGGAAAACCAATGACGCCAATATTGGTTTATTGGTGCTCAAACTGTCATTCCACCTTTCAAAAGATTATTCTAATAAATATAATAATAATGTTCACCAGACCGAATTTTGGTCACGGCGGCCAGTCTTGACGGAGACTAGCCATCTCCGCGGGACAGGACTATAGTGTACGAGTGTGCGCAAACGCAGGTGCACTTTCCATTCCCTTATTCTCATTGTCCGACGGAACCGGAGATGAAGCGCAGGACCAACGGAATTACATGCTTTCTGAGGCACGGGGGTGGAACATTGCCAGCTTCCTGACTCCATGCTGTTACTGAGAATATAGTGAGGTAGAGCCATGCTGCAGCTATATTACTTGTAGCACGAATGGGTCGGCTCGACCGAGGAAGGACCACGCTCTCACAGAATACCAGCGTAAAATAGCAGCTTAACGCTACTGTGTTTTGTATGGTAAGTGTAGAGAAACGGAGTGGGTGAAAACGCAATTTGCATTTTGATTTGTAATTGAGGATAGATGTAGATGTCTATGGGTCACAGCAGCCACTTAACATTAGGTGGACTGTGTGCTCGTTTATCACTTTTATCCCATAAAAAAATGTAGACATAGAAACCTTAGTCGTGATAAACCTCATGATCAGTGGTTTGTGCATTCGACCACTAGACCGACTAAGCAGTCAAAAATATATAAATTTATATAAATTAGTTGATTATTCAACGGCCGGCTCAATGATGCGGTATTTCGTATGGTGAGTGTAGAGAACTAGAGACCCTTTTTACTGGTAAAGACGCACTCCATCTTAGTATTTCGAGGTATCAATGCATGTATATTTTAATTCTGAATAAAGTATAGATAAGTATAGTTTTCTATAAGCCACAGCATCCACTTACTATAGGGTGGAGTGTGAGCTCAATTTTCAAATTTATTCTATAAAAAATTGGCAGCCATGAAAAGAAAGAAAAATAAGACTTGAAACGTAAGTAATGAAAGCCATCATAAACTTTACAAGTTTGGCAATTAAATATGATTCTCTAAGCTTAAAAGAAGTATATAACTATCTGTAAAGGAACTGCCTGAAATTAATACGATATTTCGTAGTATCGACGCGACGGCTCATTTTTTAGTAAATATTATGAAATATTTGTAACTAGATTCCAAGTAGGTAATATTACCGAACTGCCTTTGCAAATATTCAAGTCACATGTAAAAAGCATTCTTATGAAGGAAGGGTATAATAATCGTGATTGTTTTTAGAAATAAGCAAATAAGAATGCTTTGACAAAATTAATTTCCTTGGCAAGTATTTTATTACACTTATACATTCATATACTGCAAGATAAGCAGGGAAGCATAGTGTATTTGTGAGTTTTTGTCGTGGTAGAGCCATGCTGCAGTTATATTATGGTTGTAGCACGAATGGACCAGGGGAGGACCACGTTCTCACAGAATACCATCGAAAGAGATGTAGAGAACCGGAGACCCTTTTTATGATACGAGTTATTCCATCTTAGTCCTAGGGCTGGCAACGCATCTGCGTTTTGATTCCTTACCGAGGATAGATGTAGATGTCTATGGGCCGCAGCATCCATTTACCATTATTATTTGTCACCCTTATTCTATAGAAAGTGCACAGACAGACTTGTAGCCAGAGAAGAAATCCTTACATCTAGTTTTAATATAGTGATTTATCTAGAATACATGTTACGTTCGGTTTCAATATTTCTTTTCAAAAGAATTAAAACATTTTTTTAGGTAATCAATCATTTTCTATACACATTGTTCTCAATTAAGGGCTCATTTTAGACGAAAGCTGAACAAAGCCGTATTTAGGAGATTACGAAATTAATATTTTGTAACGTATATGTTCGACGATTTGGTTTATCTGAAATGATACTGAAACCAGTACGAAATAATAGTCATACGAATTTTATTTTCACGGAGTACTAACATTTACATTCTCTAATTATTCATAATATGCAAATCTTAATGTTTTAAAAAATACTAAATTGTTTGACCATACATTAATAGATCATTTTATTTTTTAATAATATAAAAATAAGGTACTTTAAACAGAATTTTGGTCACGATAAACCAGTTTTATCCATCTTCTAGATGCATCTGCAAGTGACTTCTAGACAGTAAACCTAGTGTTATTAATATATTATCCGTTAGTTACAGTCTATAAAAGTCCACTGCTGAACGCAGGCCTCCACCATAGATGGAGCTCCGTGTATGGATGCTCCATAGGAGGGATATTTGGCAAAATTGACACGCTTGACTAACGTGTTGGCAACTGCAGTTTTTTTATGTTACGTCGTTATCAGGAAGACGCTGCCACCCATCTCCTGATATATATTTTATGTATCATTGAATAAAGAAAATATGTGTGTCGGTCACACGCAGTAGAAGTAATCTTCAGAAAATAAAACTTCGCAAGAATGAGACGAAAGCAGAGTATCAGGAGTAGGATAATTATTTCAGGGTTTCTATCTATTTTTTGAGCTGTTGGTGCTGTTAGCATGTACGGCACTTACAGCTTGATCTGATTTATGTAATTAGAATATAAATAAATTTATAATGAACACTGTACAATGTATTCTATCTCATTTCCTCACAGGCGAAATCCTATAGCTGTATATGTTTGTCTCTTTTTAGTGTCCGAGTATCGAGGTTTAAATCATGAAGTTTCTAAATGAGTTTTCACTTACGTGGTAGAGCCAGGCTGCAGCTATATTATGGTTGTAGCACGAATAGGTCGGCTCCACCGGAGAAGAACTACGCTCTCACAGAATTCCAGCGTGAAATAGTAGCTTAGTGCTGCTGGGTTTCGTATGGTGAGTGTAGAGAACCGGAGACCCTTTTTACTGGAAATGAGGCATTCAACCTTAGTCCTCACGGGTGACAACGCATCTGCATTTTGATTCGTAACCGAGGATACATTTAGGTGTCCATGTTCTATAACAACCACTTACCACCAGGTGGCCTGTGTGCTCGTTTGTTACCCTTATCCTGTAAAAAGAAACTGAACACCACGTCGTCGTCGACCATCACCGTACCGTGTGCACACCCTTTACTGACACTGTCGCTCTTATCTCATTTAAGTTTCAAAATTGCAAACGCTCGCTCGCGCACCGCGCAAATTGTACGGGAATAGGGATCGATAATGGAATTGTAGGTGCGATTTTCTTTCGCGAGATGAGCGCCACTGTATAAATCTCTGAGATAGAAAAATTTCGGAAATTGTCTGCGAGATTTATCACCGCACCGCCTGTGCCTTGCGAAATTGTTTTTTGATTTCACCGGGAAAAATAAACATTATGAAAGGTGTATCCAGTGCTTTTAATACACACGGAAAATAAAAGGAGCATGTTAAGCTATAACATAATTTCAATATATCGACTTCCTTGTTGGTGTAGTTGTCGTAAAAGGGACATCAAGATCATGAGATTCCGGGTTCAAAACCCAGGTCGACCCAAAACATCAGTTATTGAGGTTTACGGTCAAGAAATTCTCAGTAGCCCAAAGTGAGCAATCCCGTACCTTTGAAAGCACATAAAGCCGTTAGTACTCGTAATGCAACTCATTACTCTCCGGTCAGGTCGGTTTACCGTCCCATTGGACTATGAAAGTGAGGGAATAGTGAGTTGCTTGGGCACTAGGGCACTATAATCCTGTCTTGTGCACATAGTCTAGTCTCCGTTCGGACTGGTCGCCGTGACCGCAATTTGATCTGCAGAACATAATTATTTACGCGCCGTGCAGTTCAGTGATCGTCGTATATTTCACAGTACGCGAGCCATGTTGTTCGATACCCGCCGGCGTCAATGAAATTGTTAAATACACTGTATATGCTAATATACACGTACGTGTGCTAATATACCACGTACTCGGCGGTGATTGGAAACATTTCGTGGGATAAAAAATGAATGATGATGACAATTACTCTGACTATTTATCGGCCTACCTTCGTTTAAATTTTCCGGATCTGGATGTTCGTCCATCTGCTATTTATGTTTAAAAAAACATACCATACAATGCACAGCAGCATTAAGCTATATAGTATAAACAAAGGTATGTTCAAGGTATGGTTCAAGAGAAAATCCTACACGGGGGTAACTTGTTTAATAAAAGATAGAGATTTTCGTCAGTTAGATACAATTAAGCTAACGTAAAAATAAATAAATCCATTATGAATCGAAATAATTCAGTAAATTGCAACATAAAAAATGAAGAAAACATAACAAATTTTAATCTCGATTAGTTAAGACTCCTTCGTCCGCAAACTTCTAAAATTCAAGATTATTTATGTTCCCATTTCCCGGGCCTTTGAGCGTTCGCAGAGCAAAAGATTTACATAAAAAGAAACTCTCCGCATTCGAAATTATGATTCAATTAGTATTAAGGGATTGGTCCTTCAAAGGGCTCGCACATTTTCGGGTCCATCGAATGCGACTGATACGGAACTCTTTTGTGCTTTCGAGCAAACTAAGCTGGATCCAAGCTGCTTTGTACTCAGGTTCGTCCCGTAAAGGCATCGAGGAAAATAAGCCGCGGGGACACGTTAGCAAAGTGGCGCCATACGAGACTGAACCAAAACGAATTTGATAAAACCAATTCACTGTAAATTTTCCACGAGTAAGGGCGGTCGCTTACTCGTCTCTTACCTATTTTGTTTTAATATTAAGAAGCCAGCAAGTAAGTGTGCTTTTTTATAGACAAGTAACGAGCGCACAGTCCACCTGATGGCAAATGGCTGCTGGGGCCCAAAAACATCTACATTTATCCACAACTAAGAATCAAAATGCAGAAGCGTTGTAGCCCCTGAGGACTCAGTTGGAATGCCTCGTTTCCAGTAAAAAGTGTATGCGGTTCTTTACCCTCACTATGCGAAACACAGCAGCATTAAGGTGTTATACGCTGATATTCTGTGAGAGCGTGGTCTTACCCCGGTCGAGCCACCCATTCATACTACAACTATAATATAGATTGCTGCGCTACTTCATACGTAGTGAACACACTGATGGTTGACGGCAGAAACAGGTTAGTGTGGAACCAACCTAAACCGAACCTATATTTATTTATTTTATTTATTTTTATTTTATAGAATAGGCTGACAAACGAGCACACAGTCCACCTGATGGTAAGTGGTTGCTGCGGCCCATAGACATCTACATCTATCTTCCATTACAAATCAAAATGCAGATGCGTTGTCACCCGTGATGACTGAGATGGAATGCCTCATTTCCAGTAAAAAGGGTCTCCGGTTCTCTACACTCACCATACGAAATACAGCAGCATTAAGCTACTATTTCACGCTGGTATTCTGTGAGAGCGTGGTCCTTCCCCGGTCGAGCCGACCCATTCGTGCTACAACTATACTACTAATATAACTGCAGCATGGCTCTACCACGTAATAACCTATGTAAATGTAACTAAATATTGATTTTCTTTTACATAATACGTAGCGTTAGCTACGTATTTTGTATTTTGACGCGCTAAGATCCGATCGACTTGGCAGGATAAAAACCACGGTATCCAAAAAAAGAAAAAACGGTGATTCTGTTATTAATAATGAGGCATTCCATCTTAGTCCTCAGGGGTGACAATGCAACTGCCTTTTAATTCTGAATTGAGATTTAGATGACTGTAGATCACAGCATTCACTTACCATCAGGAGGACTGTGTGCTCATTTCTTACCCTTATATTATAAAAAAACCATACACATACTTCTCGTAATGACACAACTTCGCCCCTTGTGCCTACTTTCAAATCATAGGTACTAAAACACGGTACTGCATCAGTCAAGAGTAATGTTGGATATTTGTTACGTTCAAGCCCCCAACACGGCATCTTGGATTAAGTGACGAATTATACTTTTTTTTTCTAGTCGTCACAACCTCGATTATTCCGCTTCGTCCGCAACTTTGAGATATTCATCTTAAGGATTAGAGGGCGCTTTGAGCAGGCGAAATTTTACGGAATTCCCTTGATGGATGAATACGGAAGCTGTAATTCCGCAATTCGGGGTGCAGAACAGTAATCGAGATGAGAGAGTGTGACTGTCTCGCTAATGACGTGTTTGCGGTGTCAAATCCGCGATAGTCATAAATTTTATTCACGCATATATGTCAGATGAAAATGTCTGTCAACTGTGAATTAGAAAAACAACGTATCCTTTTTCTTACATTATATTCACACACTAACATGTTTCATATAGACTTAGATTGATGGTAAGTGGATACTGTGGTCATAGACATGGACATCTACATTTATCATCAATTAAGAATCAAAATGCAGGTGCATAGTCACATCTGAGGACTAAGATGTAATGCCTTGTTTCCAGTAAAAAGGGTCTCCGGTTCTCTACACTCACCATGCAGAACATAGCGTAAGCTGGTATTTTACGCTGGCTATTCTGTAAGAGCATGGTCCTATCTTGGTCGAGCCGACCTATTCTTGCTTGCCTTAATATAGCTGTAGCGTGGCTCTACCACTTATAAAAATTAAGAGAGTTGACTAAACTATTAAATTGATCTTCTATTAGTGTAGATAACATTGACTAATTGATAAAATTTGATTATATTGTTTCTCTAGTCACACAGAGAACAAACACTAGAAAAAAGGTATGCTGTGTTACAGAATAATAGATATCATATATAAATAAAAATTATTTCTTACTTTTCTTATCATTTGGTTTCTTGGGTAATTTCTATAATATCTAAAAACCAAGATGGGATTATAATTTAAAATAATTAAACGTAATACTCATTCTAGTAAGCAATAATTGCTCGTTTTAGGGAAATAAACTTTTACATTTAATTTAGAACGTAGGTTTCATCTTCGAATTCTTCAGCACTAACTATAAAGGTACATCTCAAAAATAATCTTACTTAGTGGCTTAATTTTATCTTTTTTTAAGTTTATCCTCTAATAAGTTTTTTTTATTATATAATTGGAACTTAAAACTTAATTTTTAATACTTTAAAATTATTATTACTTAATAATAAACAAAGAACAAAAAGTTTTTAATAAATTAGTATGTAATTGAAAAAAATAAGCTTCAACCTTCTGATGCTTCCTAGTGTAGCTACGAAGTTCTGAGCATACAACATGGAAATTTAAAGAGACATTTGTTCATTAGACAAACACACATAAAACATTAACGAAGCGTTTCTAGTCCTTAACGAATTTCCGGCATGTATTGTCAGTCGGTATAACTAAAGTCGGTCCTCTCTTTCTGTTGTAAACATAACGAAAGAGAGCTTTAGTAAAGAACACATTTGAATCTATCTATCGTTCGACAGCGCGTCACAAACATGCTTTTAATGGCGGTAATTAAAGAGACACTTGTAGGCCTACCAAAATATCGCGATATAAAAACGTCGTTCTTACCGCATATCAAATTGTTTAACACATTCGTTGTGCATGGGCACCATTTTACGACTTGTCGCTCGTTTACGACGGGAATCCGGTTGATCTGTGATATTGGAGTTTTGTTTATAAAATTAGAAACCATTTGAGAATGGTCGCCATTAAAGTGTGAAATATTTGTTGTTATTTTAATTTATTATAGTGGTTTCAATATCACGAAGGGTTGAAGAGTCTCTGAGATCAAACTAATTTTGTACTTCGATAATTATAAATAAATGATATTAATAGTTAATTGCAACCATCCCCTAAATTAAATAAAACGATGTGTCTTTGCACTATTCTAGGAAAGACACCATCGACTTAGGGTTCAGCCGCCGTAAAGTCAACATCACCTGAAGATGCCTCGTGTAGAGGCGAAACACGTGTCGTATTATCGGTGTGTCTTTCCTAGAATAGTGGTGTTGGGAGTAGTGGTGTTGGGAGTAGTGGTGTTGGGAGTAGTGGTGTTGGGAGTAGTGGTGTTGGGAGTAGTAGTGTTGGGAGTAGTGGTGCTGGGATTGGTGGTGACGGAATTAGTGCACGCAATTGAGGGAGGGCGGGAGGTGTTCTTCAAACTAGATAAGACACATCATTTTATTGAATTTAGCGGATGGTTGCAAAATAACTATTAATATCATTTATTATAATGGATTTCCGCAAAGTAACGCCTGATTTTATCAATTAACTTCGATATTTTTTACGTAACAAGGAGATATATAAGTATCCACCAAGTAGACATGTATTCCCCTTATATAAAAAGTATTGTAATGTAATTATGAAAACATGATAATATTATAATAAACATTGAAGCTAAATTCAACTAAGCCGAAAAGCTGAAGATGTATGTGTACGTGAACCCAAAGTGAGTAAGTAGCAAATAAACATAATATGATCTACGCAAGGAACGACGGTCTGAGTATAAAAGCACTTACTTTAATGAAGGTGGTTTATAAAATGATGTATACAAATGTTAGATGACCCGAAATTAAAGATTAAACGCCGTTCTCATTTTACCTAGACAAATTATCCCGGAGTTTTAGTAGAACCAAAACATCGGTGAAATAAATTCCGCCGTAAACAAAAGGTCGGGTCGAACATACCACGGCGCAACGAACGTTACTAAACGACAAATAAAAGCGGATAGTTTAAATTGGGACCCAAAAACTGACTGTTAACAAACACGGGCCCTTTAATACGATGGAAAAGTTTTCGGAGATCACCGGGGAACATTGAAAACATGCGGTGGGACCGGCAATGTCGGTTGTAACATTTGTGTAACAAGTTGCAATTATCTTTTAATCTATTTTCTCTTTTGTGAATCAAATTGTAACACAAATCATAGCTTTATAATAATTTTATTAAACATTATTTAATTACTAAAACTTTTTTACGAGGTTGAGCCATATTATGGTTGTAGTACGAATGGATCGGCTCGACCAAGGTAGGATCACGCTCCCACAAAATACCAGCGTAAAATAGCAGCTTAACACTGCTGTGCTTTGCATGGTGTGTGTGTAGAGAACTGAAAACTATTTACTGGAAACGAGGCATTCCGTCTTACCACTCAGGGGTGACAACGCGTCTGAATTTTGATTCTTATTCGAGGATAAATGTAGATGTCTATAGGCCACAGCATCCACTTTTCATCAGGTGGACTGTGTGCTCGTTTGTCACCCTTATTCTATAATCTATTTCTCGAATTTTATCGGTTCTTCTGCTCAGCCCGTAAGAGTTCACAGCTGGAGATGGAACTCAATCTGTGTTAGTAAGGAAAGACACACGGAATGTCGATCGCCGTATCAGATGTTCGAAGCAGTATGAGATGACGCTGCTCCTGCTGCTGTGGTAGGAGGAATCTTTTCCTAACTAAGAGTGAGTATTTCTGGGTAAATATCACCCTCTTACATCTTTTGCCGCCAAAATAGATCAGTGGTTGCATTGCTGGGTTCCGGTAGAATAGAACGGAGAGCCGGTATAATTAAAGTCCGTGAGGCATTTCATATTAGTCCTGCAAGGTGACCACGCGTCTGTAACACTCTTGGTTTGAAGTGGGCAAGTGACCATGGACTGCAGTAGCTACTTACCATCAGATGGACAGTAAGTTAGTTGATCACTACAGTTTTATATAAAAATGTTTGAGTAATTTACATCTGGAATGGAAATTGAATTGGAAACAAGATGGTTATATTGCCATTACAATGCTTTGAGATTTCTCTGATATTTCTCATAGTCGTCTCCTACGACTCCCACGGGACGGAATGGAGAGATGGATTATTTTATCATACGAGATTAAATAAAATGAAAAGTATTTTTTTTTAACAATACATAATATTGTGTTCGGACAAAAACATCCTAAGGAATAATCATCTAACTTACTAGATAGTTATTGCATCTAGTATCATTTTCTACAAACTGTTTGTTTTGTTTAAAACGGTGGTCATCATAAAATGAACTGCCAGGTCGCATATCTATCTATCATTAAAAAAAGAACAATGGCGCTTATGTCAATTTTAGCAATTTCAGAGAAACTAATATTTGGCTGTAAATTTTTCACAGACAGATTCGAATGATATTGTTTTAACGTACCTACATTTTTCCGCTTTATAACCGACTATGACGGAAATCAATTGCTAAAGATAAAAGGAAAAATATTGAGATGGCGACGCGAAAACATTTTAAACGTATCCTTGCCGAAAACAAAAGCGAAATAAAGACCAATTGCGATGAAAGAACACAAATAGCGATTGACATGTGAGACTCGAAACAAAACTTTTACGTTGTGTTTCCTTTATATTCCTTTACATTTTTCATAAGGACAAGAATACTCAAGACTCATGTATGAGATGTGACGTAGCCTAGAAAGTTAGTTGGGCATAAGTCTTATATTATGTTGTACAAATTGGAACATTCAAACGTGTAAATTCAGTTAACAATGTTTGTGGTGGTATCGAATGAACATGATATACAATATTGTGCCCATTACGATGTCAATTGTTATGTAGTATATACGTTGTGGAACAACGATGCAGCCATATTATTATTGTAGCACGAGTAGGTTGGCTCGACCGGGGAACTACGCTCTTACAAAGTAGGTAGCGTGAAATAACAACTTAATTCTGGTGGGTTTCGTGTGGTGAGTGTGGTGAACCGGAGACCCTATTTAGGTGAAATGTGGCATTCCATCTTAGGATGAAAACGCATCTGAATTTTGATTCTTAGTCGAGGGTAGATGTAGATGAATATGAACCACAGCATCCTCTTGCGATGAGGTAGACTGTGGGTTGTTTAGGCTTCCTTATTCTATAAATAATTAGGCGAAAATGACTTTTTACTACTATCGTTTCAAAATTAGGTTCCTCTGTCTGGAGAAGAAACGTCGAAAGATACTGCAAGTATCCTCATTTCATCCCAATATTATGATATTCTTAATTAAAACTAAGCAATAGACCCATACGTAATCAAAGCATGTTTATATTAAAATTACACAGCAATTAAAAATATATATAAAAAAATAAGCGTAACACAATGTTTACTTTTAAATGAAACTAGTTTTAAGGATTCTATAGGGTTTAATTTTAACTTTTTAACTTCCGACGGTTTCGGGTGCTTGGTAGCACCCGTGGTCGCGGGTTCAGACTGATGTGTTTGACATCTCCATGTCATAGTTAGCCCGGCTACCTTTAGCCTATGAATGTTTTAAAGCTCCCGAAACTTCGGGAATTAAATGCCTAGTTAAAAGTAAACGCGATAAAATCAGTCAAATTAGTCTCATTAAATGTGCAGTATTATTATATATTACCGCGTAGTGGCCGTTCAAAAATGTCCACTACACCATATACTGTGGGTGTCGTGAGAGGCGACGGAGGGAAAAAAATCAGACGATGGACAGAAGCGTATTCATAGAAAAAGACTTAAAATAAAAATAAACTGTCTTAACTTCTTAAACTTGTAAACATTATTTTTGGGTTGTTAAGAAATATTTTTTAAAATGTATTTAATTACCAAAATTGACAATTTTAATTACAAAACACCAATTACAACTTAAACCACACTAATTAAAAAAACAATAGTACTACTGATCACTTTAAATATCGCTTCGAAGTATTCGCTTGTTCAATACTCACTCGGCTCGCGGTCTATACCGGCCTTATACAGGGCCTCTTCTACTCAAACATCTAGAATGTTCGAGTACATACTGGTCCCAACTGACTAGGTGTAGAAAGTTCTGGCATGGAAATCTCCAGAAGGATCTTGCCTCTCCTAGTTCTGCTACTCGATACTAGAGGACGCTAGTGGTAGCTAATGTCGCCATGTACCAGGCATTAATTATGGCGCGCAACATTATGTATCTGAGCGAGACGGTCACGCGAGTTCAGTGCTTTTCCTCATCCCAAAAGTGCTCAACGAGCCTAAATAAGTTTTCATTTAAAAACTTGAGGTTGTAAACGCGCTTTCCAAATGTGACAACTATGCTAAATATTACCCCTACAGGCAATCTATGTGGGAGGCAACGGTAAGGGTAATGGGTAAATCAAAGGGCTTACCGTTTTGCACGAGCAGAGTGGAGTCCCTCGCGAGCGGCAACTCGGAGTCGGTCAGTGTCGCGTCAGAGGCGTTGTCGGACGCGGATGTCGGTGTGGTCGGCGCGGTCGGCGACTCGGAAAGGCCGCGGGCACGGTTCCTCCGACGCCCGCTGCCGCTGCTCGAACCGCTGCCCGAGCCGTACGGATGCAGTCGGCCCAGGCCTGCAAAACACATTGCTATAGAAGTCATGTAAAGTTCAACGTGTTGTGCTTACACCGCAAGAAAATCCTCTAATCCATAGCATCCCGTACGTAAAATTAGTTAATTAATTATTAATTTCACCATCACACATCGCGACAAAACTCACGATATCATCCATACCATCTGGACGACTGGCGGTCTACCACCGTGCGATTTAAAAGAAGTTTTCTTCGTCGCACAACTTCCTTGTGGAATCGACTACCACCAGAGATTTTTCCGGACCGATACGACTTAGGGACCTTTAAGAAAAGAGCCTACTCCTTTTTAAAAGGCCGGCAACGCATCTGCCATTCCCCGGTGAGGTGAGCCGTATGCTCGTTTGCCCCCTCTCCTATAAAAAAGGGAAACAAATCGGGAGATGCAGCAACGTCTTTCGACTTAAATAAAAACATAAACTGCGGTGGCCAACTCGCTTACCTAGCTTGGCAACTATGGCAAATTTCCTTCTATGAGGCAATCTATGGGGGAGGCCTATGTTTAAAAGTGGACTTTAATAGGCTTGAGGACTAAGAATGCCTCCTTGCCAATAATAAGGGTCTCCGGTTCTCTACACACACCATACGAAACACAGCAGCTATTTCATGTTGGTATACTGTTAGAGCGTGGTCCTTCCCGGTCATTAAAGTTATATTATTATTGTTATTTCTTAAAAAATACATTAAAATAAACGACGGCACAGTGGCTTGGCAATGAATTGAAGCGCTAAGTGCCTCGGGTTCGAATCCCGCAAAATATTTATATATGAAATTTTTGTAAGTGAACTGCCCTTACGATTCAGGAGAACATCCTAGTGTAGTGATAAAGTTTTTTTAAAAGAAATATATCTATTTACGCTAATTATACATAATTTACACTAATTGTATAACATCTTAATAAAAAGGTTTACAAATGGCGGTCTTAATGCCTTTTGGCATTCTCTTCCAATCAACCCGGGACGTGTGGGAACAATCTGATAGGAGTCAAAAATTAAACACTGCCACTCAAGGAACAAGTCAAGAATCTTGACTCTAATCGTTGTCGATTCTTTGACTTATATTTTAGGATGTAATATGCCCATTACCACTTTGGCTTACTGATTTATACTGTATAATAATAAAATAGAATAAAATATTTGATAGTTTTTGAGAAGAGTCACGATGCGATGAAGAGTAGTAACCACCAATGATCAGTACTAAGGTTTCCATATTAGTGTAAGATTGATTTTATGAGAGATTGTGTTGCGGCGGTATGAGATGCGGTTGACTTTTCAAGAATTGGCCATGTTGCAGATATATTAGTAGTATAGTTGTAGCACAAATGGGTCGGATCGACCGGGGAAGACCACGTTCTCATAGAATACGAGCGTACAATGGTAGCATAATGCTGTTGTGTTTCGTATGGTGAGTGTAGAGAACCGGAGACCTTTTTTACTGAAAACGAGACATTCCATTTAAGTCCTCACGGGTGACAACGCATCTGCATTTTGATTCGTAATCGAAGATAGATGTAGATGTCTGTGAGCCACAGCAACCACTTACCATCAGGTGAACCGTGTGTTCATTTGTCGCCCCATCCTATAAAAAAATTGGTTAATGCAAACAGGCTAATACTTTAGAAAATAAAAGAGTAAATATTGGTGTTACAAAAATCGAAAACTTATTAAAATTATTTTGACCTTCAGCTTAAAGCATTTTAAAAATAGTTACATCAAATGAAAAGCTATCGTAGTGCAGATTATCCCTTACATTTTCTGAAGCTTACAATCCGCTACAACTTTAATCAGAAGGATTTAGGTTTAGTACTTCTAGCAAAGTATCTATGAAAAAACTAATTTAGTGGAATTAAAATCGCTAGTCAGCTATCTAACAGGACGTACTTTAATTTAGACCAGGGTCATCTTTTTCAATGTTTACATTATCGCACGACCTTGAGCTACAAATAAAAATTAGATGAATAAAGTAGCAATATTAATTACTTTTTTCTTTTTGAGGTTTCGCAATGAATGATGTGCCAGTGCGTTGAAAATCATAAGCGAAAAAATAGCAAAATACATGTGAAAATTCGTCACAAGTCGACAGCCTTTCATTAAATACCGAGCCTTTTTGGTACAAAGTTAAGCTCCGAGTATTTATTTGCTTTTCAGGAGAAAGGCGCAGTTTTACTTAATAAAAGCCCTCGCACATCAAAGCCGTGTACGGTGATTACAGGTAAATGAACGGTCGGTCACACGGCTCTTATAAAATTGGCGTTTTCGTCTGATACGGGGATTTTTTTATAATAAAAATTTTTTTCTCGAAGTTTTTTTATTTACTTAGCAATACATACGCCTTAGTTAGGCTATACTCATAAAAATCGACATCAAGATAAGAAATGCTTGAAGCAGCTCTCTCTCTTTTCACTAAATGGTTATAGAAAGAGCTAATTATTGTAAGCAAGGCCATATATCATTTAAATCCTAATTAGTCTGCTAAAAATGAAATTATCTTGAGGCGATCAAAAATTAACTCAGCTAAAGTTGAAGTGTTAAAACACATGCAATGTCCACCAACTAAGACCAGAGCAACGTTATGAAAGTTATACACAATAAAATAATTTACAATTAAAATGTACGGAATGATTCTATAATATGTTGAATTAAACGCAATTTAAAAGTATTGTTTTCATGAAATTACTTTTAATTAGTTATTATTTAAAGTTTATGGTTCAGTCTACGCAGAATGAGCTTATATTTAATATCTATTGTATGTTAGATCATTCTGCGTAGACCAGACAGTAAAATTAAAAAAAAACTACAGTTTAACTTTACAACCAGAACTTCAATAGTTCTTTGTGCCCAACCATGGGAGCCAAAAACTTAAAACGTAAACTCAGACATGTAAGAAAAAGTACCAGAAATTTAGAAAAACTTATTAACATTCGTAAACAACGTTTTTAAATTGTAATTTTCAATTTAAATTTTATATTGTGTATATCATTCACGTATTTCGTTGAACCCGAATTTCGGCTTTAGTATTAAAATCAAAATATGAGATATTTTCATTGTATTCTTTATTGTACTCGGAAGCCTTATTATTCGTAATTACGTCCACGGTTCGTATTTATATTTCTTTTTGTGGCTTCCCCGCCTTTGTTATTTGTTTTTGATCGCGTCTCCTTCGATATCTCACAGGTAAATAAGTAATGTATGGAATTGTTTTGACAGACTTTAAAATGTTTTCTTTTTATGTGGATTCACCATTTGTTCAGTCATTTTCTTTATTTTCATCATCTTTATTTATTTTCACATTCTGTTTTTAGTTCGATGTGTTTTTCACGCTGAATTGTCTTTCCTATAAATAGTCCATGTAATTATTTTTTATACATAAATTCTTTCATTTATCATAACTATTTTCATCAGCAGATAAATCTATGACCGAAATTCCTTATATTGAGTTAGTAAGCGATAGTTTTTATGTGAACAGAAAGTATTCGAATGTGGAAACGCATTAAAATGTAGCGGCCATATAGCTCGAATAACTGGTAACCGATGGGTAATCGAGTATTGGTAAGCGAAGCAAGAGGCCCTCTATTAGATGAAGTGACGACCTGGTAAGACAAGAAGAAAATTGATGGATGCAGGGTTCTTGAAGAAGGTGGATCAGTAGAATTTTGTATTGTATTGAAATTAAATACGATAAAGCTCTTAAAATTACTTTAATTCAACCAAAGAAATATTTAGAAAATAATACTTCGAGTACGTCGTAGAAGTATATGATTGTCTTTTATGAATTTACTGTTTAATTTGATTCAGGTTTATGTAATTTGTTAATAATTAGCATTCTTTAACCGGACGTCTCCAACGAGATCCTTTTAGTTATGGGCGAGAAGGGGAGGGTTGGCAAAAATTCTCTTCTAACGAGCTCATTGTCCTATTTGTTTGGATATCCTTTGTGAAGGGTTCTTCTGATTGCGTTCTTAATTATCGGCATTGAATAAGTTTTGTGTCTGTTTGGTTATATTTATACACAACCTAAGGATTATTGTGAAGGAAATTTTTATCGTAAAAATTATTTATTTTTATTTTTGTAATTTTGTTTTCGCAACGTCGCGAATCATTTATTAAAGGAATATCTCTGTTTTATTCATGTTATAATAAATAGGTTTTCATATTATAAAAAAATGTTTATTGGAGTATGTATATGATTTTAATCCTTTTTTTTTTTTAGTTAACAAGTGGTAAAATTAGAATTTTTGTACCACCGACATCAATACGACCGAATCAATATATACGAAGTCAATTAAATACGTATTTTTAAAGATCACTCAAAAACTACTGGTCAGATCTTGATTAAATTTATATGGAACTGCATGAGAAGCACCAGATTTCAGATAAATAAGAATAATCAAAATCGGTTCAACCAGATAAAAGTTATGAGGTAACACACATAAAAAAACATACAGTCGAATCGAATACTTTTTGAAGTCGGTGAAAATAAAACAAGTATCAGGTGTTAGACCTCCACGAGGTTAAGGTCAAAAAATGAAATCTGGTAGAAGGGCTGTAAACCTTAAAAAAATCTCATAGCTAGGCACGAAACTCTCGTTTCGAAAAGTGTTATGGAACGATTAAATCGCTGAATTTAGTAACTTTCTTTTTTGAACATTTACAACACTAAAAGAATTATTTCGCATTTCAATATTTTACAGTATTAACAATCACTAGTAACAGCAATGTGCATTCGTACTTGCGAGATCCAGTAATGAGGTACAGTCGAGCTAATTTTATTTTCCTTAAATTCTTTGAGTTGAACCTCTTGGGATGCTTGGCTTTAAATTAAAAAGTTTTCGCTGGCAGCCTCAAGAGAGCTCAGGCAAGGCCAGTTCATTCCTTTCTAATACCTTTCCTTAATGATACCATACGATTAAACGAGTCAGTGAACTAAATACTTTTTTGAACACATCTATTCAATAAAAGGAAACCATAGAAATATTTTACTTTTAAGGGCACTGGTTTTATGTATTAGAGCTATGCCGCAGCTTATTTATTTATAGAATTAGTGTGACAAAACGAGTACACAGTCACTTGACGGTAAGTGGATGCTGTGGCCCATAGACACATACATCTAACCTCGATTAAGAATCAAAATTTAGATGCGTGGTCACGCCTGAGCACTAAGATGCCTCGTTACCAGGAAAAAGGGTCGCCCCTCAAGGTTTTCTACACTCACCATACGAAACATAAAAGCATTAACCTGTTATTTACACTGGTATTCTGTAAGATCGTGGTTCAACCCTGATAGAATCGATACCACATGTACATTTTGTAGACTTTGTAGACGTAGATCTGGTATTAAGGCAGTACAAATGGGTTGGCTCGACTGGGGTAAGACCACAAACAGAATACCAACGAAAAATAGTGGTATAATGCTGCATATGGTTTGAGGATAGCTGCGACACGAAACACTTTTCACTCGGAGTTGACAATGCGTCTGCATTTTGATTCTTCGTAGTGATAACTGTAGGTGTTTATTGATTACATAAATTACTTTACATAATTTTTTTTATAGGAGAGGGGGCTAACGAGCATGCAGCTCACCTGATGGTAAGTGACTACCGCCGCCAACCGCAACATCCGGGGAACTGCAGGTGCGTTGCCGGCCTTTTAGAAAGAAGTAAGTTTTTTTTTGAAGGTCCCTAAGTCGTATCGGTCCGGAAAAATCGCTTGTGGTAAATAATTTCACAGATTATTCGTACGAGGAACTACACTCCTGGTAAAACGCACATTGGTTGAAAACCAAGCATCCAGATGGTGCGAATGGTATTGTGAATTTTGACGCGACGTGCGTTGGTGAAATTTGGCGGCTGAAATTAATCCTAACAATTCCTCAGAGCACTTCCCGTGGTAAAAAATGCAAAGGCACGTAACATCGTCGATCAGAAAGAACTCGGTCGTCGACGATACGAACCGCTCTGCGCTGGAGCGCCAGTGAATCGAGTCGATCAGAAAGAACTCGGTCGTCGACGATACGAACCGCTCTGCGCTGGACGCGGTTAAGTGGAAGGAGCTGGCACTGGGGGTGCCCTGGCCCAGAGATGAGATATTTGCGTTTTGTAAATATCCATATCATCATATGGACAGTGTGCTCGTATGCCACCCATATTTCTATGAAAATGAATATTGTTTTGTGTTTATTTGTGTAGTTAACAACACAAGACAAATTAGAAATAGCTTGGTAGCGGTCACCCTTCCCAGGGGTTATTATCATCCATAAATTCCTTAATTTCCTTCAACATATACATCAGTTCCAAAATATGACTTTCAACGTTAAATAGGCATACCTGTTAGGCCTGTTCAACAATCCAAAAATTTAACTTTAAAAGGCACTAAGTTTTAACATCCAATAAGTGTCTGTAGTTGAATTAACTTTGCAAGCACACCCACTTTGTCTTTGCAATCACACCCACTTTGTCTTTGCACTGAACAACAATAAACGTAAGATTTCTGACATACGAAAATATACTTATCACGTGCGACCTCGCGGAGCGCAGTAAAACATAATATTCGCGACCTGAAACTGGATATTCTAGAATCCAATAACATCACCACGCGTGGGCGAGGGGGGACTAACATAAATAAAAACACGGACTGTTTCCTCTGGTGATGATAAGACACGATAGTTGGTTGGCGCGCAGGATGTCCGCCAAGATAAACGTTGACCGGTCACTTTTAATGAATTCAACTGAGGAAATTGACATTGTTTCGTGTTATTAACTGTGTAATAATATAACAAGAAGTCTCTATTCATACATACATTACCTACAGCCTATTAAAGCCACTGCTGAACATAGGCCTTCCTCACAGTGTCTCATAGGGGTGTCAAGATTGGCAGACTGATTGGCAACCGCAGTTTTTTGATAATTTTGAGTTGGCATCAGGAATATGCTACTGCCTACTTCCTGTATCGGTTTCTCAGTCGCCTCTAACGACACCCACGGCACGGTTTGGTGTAGTGGATGTTTTTAAAACGTCACTACATAGTTTTTGTCTGTGTTTATTTTTCGCCTTTATTCGAACGCATGAAAAATCTTTTGCAACATAACCATAAGTTTAAAGATTAAAACATTCTTTAAATTAATTGCATTTTGAATTTCTTAAAATCATTATATTATTTGAAAAATAACAATATAATTAAAACCATGAGCTATTTATGGTTGTTTGTTCAAATCGGTAACAGTCTATGTAGGCTGGAGCAGAGCAAACCTCCTCTTATAGTGATAGCAGCTGCGCGCCGCATTGCAGCTATGCGGGCTGTTACGTTACCTCTGAAATTATTCCCCTGAGTTATTTTAAAACTCTTGTTTCTTTTTTAATTTTACTACCGCGATCAACATATATTTATCACAAACAATTAATTAATGTGTTTATATATATACATATATATATATATATATATATATATATTACACACACATAATATATAGTCCTTCATTCATTACAGCCCTTCACAAATCCATTGCTGAGTCCAGTTCTGAGCTCTTGCATCCATCGACTTCCTGTCGTCACTCCATCCAGTAGGGGGACGCCCTACACTTGGTCTGCCGGTACGCGGCTGCCACTCGAGAACCTTTTTCCCCCATCGATTGACGGCCAGTTGCGCAAGTCCCGCAGCATGTATTTGGAGATCTGTCTGTTCAGTCGCGTCATACTGATAATAATATGATATTACTTAGTTTCGAGTGTTGCACGCCAAAATAAGTAATATAAAAGTTATAAAGTAATCATCAAGTAAATGCAACTGTAGTGATTTACATCAATTCATTGTAGTCGCAGAGTTTATGACATAATATCTTAATTATTATCTTTCCGCTATGAAAATTAATAACTTTCAAAAGTAGGAAGTTATAGATTTCGCCCCGAATTTGAGACTGCGAATTTTCATGAGACCTCCTCGTTTTGAGGTCCTAGAAAGCTGTTCCGACTGTTCCCGGTTGGACGGGCCGTGTGTTGAGCACCTTATTTCATTTTTTACTTCTTGATTGAGCTATATAACGGCTATAAAAATAGTGAACACGAATAAAATAAAAAGTTTTCATTATTTAATCCTTTTACTTCGTATTCCACAATCTGCTTAAACAAAATTTGGTTATAATAAAATCGAATTACAATAGAATACGACTCGACAAAATAGTGAACTCATAAATATACAATTGGCAAGTCGTTTTCGTAGCTAAATCACGTCTACAACAGTATGAAGTAACCCCCGAAAAGAATCCGCAAAACATTCTCGACGAATATACGCGGATCCCTTCACGCACGTATTGTTAGATCTTCGTTACTACAAGAAAGGAACTACAATTTGATTCGTACAAAGTCACATAAACGAACCGGTAAACCTGGCGTCTCCAGGGGAAGCGACCTGTCACAGCTCGTCACGAAGCGAAAAAATATTTTGAAGAACTGATAGATGCCGAGTTATAATTTCAAATATAAAAATACGAGAGCACTCTTTTTCGGTTTAACATTCGACCAAAAGTATAGAACAGATCGTTTTGCATAACACCGTGTATAATTTTCATTGTAAATGATTAATTTAATTATTCTGTATTTAGTGGCGGCGTAGGAATATTCACTACCCAAAATCAGAACAGAGAACAGACGCAGGAGATGGACAGCTGATCTTCGTCATAATAACTGTAAATAATTAAAACTGCGTTTGTTGACCCGCATGACAACTCGGCAAGAAGCAGTCAATGGGGAAGCCCTATGTATAGCAATGGTCTTTCGACAGGCTGTAATGATCTTTAAATAAATGTTTATCCTCTATTGTGGAGGCGTTTTACTTACATACATAAATTTAACAGGGATAACAACCAGACTAAGATCAATTATTCAAGCACATAACAATGGTTCTAACACTCGGCAAGCACCGGCTGAACCAAAGGCTTAGCCAATGACACCATCAAAAATACAAATGTTTATAATTTGGTGTGTACTTCTTTTCCATTTTTTCACCACCCCGCAAAATTCCACTGGTGTCCTGAGCGGGAGAGCCGTTGCAAGAAGGATTTGTCTTCGATGTCACGCTTGGTATGTTGATTAGCGATTGAAGTAAACCACGTTTCACACCTTTGATGTTGGCGGCCATCACCGGTCTAAGGGTTAGATAAAAGAGTTGACTATATTGCCATCTAGTGGCACATCCTACTGGCACTTCCCATAGTCGCCTCTTAGGACACCCACGGGACGAAATGAGGCGATTGATTATTTTGCGGTAATACCACACAGCAGTGCGCTAGAGTATAAAACTTTCAAGTTATAAAATACATTGTACGTGGTAAAGTCAGGCTGCAAAGCAATATTATGGCTGCAGCAGGAATGGGTCGGTTCGACCGGGGTAGGACCACCACGCTCTTAAAGAATACCAATGCTGCTGTTTCGTATCGTGAGTAAATATTAGTCCTCGGGGGTGACAACGCATCTGCATTTTGGTTATTAATCGAGGATGAACGTAGATGTCTATGTGCCGCAGCATTCACTTACCATCAGATGGACCGTGTGTGTTTGCTATTCATCCTTATTATGTAAACAAAATGTTTTTGCAACCAGCAATTAGTTTCACTTTAATGTCATATATCCAAAATAAGGCGAAAGGTATCCTCCGTATGTATATCCAGATAATTTTTATACATCACATAAGTCAGCGCAAAGGAATTTCGTTTCAATAAACTAATCCTTATCTAAAAATCTTTTTTTTATATAAGATTAGGGTGACAAACGAGCACACAGTCCACCTTATGGTAAGTGGTTGCTGTGGCCCATAGACATCTACATCTATCCTCGATTACGAATCAAAATACAGATGCGTTGTCACCCGTGAGGACTAAGCTGGAACGTCTCGTTTCCAGTAAAAAGGGTCTTGCTAAATGACCGAATGACAGTTTCCACTATACTGGACTTTGGCGTTCCTTGCGTGATGCCGGTCAGTTACCTAACCAATCATGTCGATGATAGAAAATCATTAAGACTAAGTACTTATAAAAATAAGTAAATGTTGGATCAACGTTCTTATACAATCAACTCTGCAGATTGGTTTTATCTCGTAAATGGAATATGAATTGGTAATATTATATTTAAACTTAGTTTATATAATTTAAGTACGATCTGCCCGCGGCTCCGTCCACGTGGAAATAGAATATTTTTAATGGAAACGAGGCATTCCATCTGAGTCGACAGGGGTGCCAACGCATTTTGCGTTTTGATTCTTAATCGAAGATGGATGTGGATATGCATCCACTTACGATCAGGTGGACTGTGTATACGTTTGTCACGCTTATTCTATAAAAAAAATCAACTTTAAACTTTTTTCCGTGGTAAAAATTATCCCATGTTTTATTTTTAATCCAGAATAAGCTCTATTAGTTTTTTTCTTATATAAATCTGAAATGACAAAGGAGCTTTAAGCTCACCTGATATCAACTGGCTACTGCAACCCGTGGACATCTGCAACTTTAACAAAGAAAGCTACAAATGCGATCTCTGAGAACTAAGATGTAATGCCTCACGACATGTAACGATAACGGCAGTCTATACTCTGAAGATTGGTGACAGTGGTGCAAGAACTGCTGTTCGCCAGCAGAATTAGATAAGGAGCTTGGAACCTACACAAACGGTTTCAGAGGCAAAAAGTAGCTCTGAGACCTTTTTTGCCTCGTAAGTGAGCCGAATAAGTCCTTTTAGCTGTTCTTGCATGATTGAGTTAAAATAACTTACGTATATAACTTCCACCTTATCGTGCAAGTATAGGATCTCAGCGGTACGGTGTATTTATTTTAACGTTTGCCTTAAATAAAAAAATAAATAAAAATTTTAATCTTTTCAGTGTTCCCGAATCCTAGGTGTGTGGAAAGGTGATTTAAGTTAAAAAATCAATATATATTGTTTTTATGTCACATTTTCTTCACATTTTGTAAATTAATAAGGAGCTGTACTGTGTACTTACTTCTGTTATAATATTCTAAACACGGCGGCTCGCGTTAAGGCAAATGTAGAAATTTGTCACATGAGCGATGGCACACCTACGTGTTTCGCCATTCAAATCCAAAATATAATCTGTCGCTACGCAAATAAAACACACCTTTATTGCTTAAGAAGAAAAGCTTAAATCCTACACGCTATCCTTTAAGAATATCGTAACTTATACAACTCCTGGACTGGATTAACAATTGAATTTATCCCTTAGACGTATTATCAAAAAGAACGTTTTCGATTGCATTACATGTAAGAACAGACCCGTAGTTAAACTGAATGCGAGTATATGATTTTATGCCAGCAAAAGTAAAGAAGGTTGACAAATAGGTCGGGCGTGCCGATGTTCAGTTTTATTAAAATTAAAATGTTCCGTCGTGACATTAATAAAAAAGCATTAAGCGTAACTGCTTGTGTCTCCATCGTTCGAATTTACGCCAGAAGTGTGAGGTATAAGCTGTATAAACTAAACGTACATTTTTATTATAATCATGTTAGTTTATTGCTTCTAGATCTTGAACATGAGAAATCTTTATTATGAAGTAATATTTTAACATGTGTCGTGCAGTGGCGGTGTAAGAATATCCACTACTTCATATCGCCCTGTGCGTGTCGTAACAGGCGACAGAGGAAGATTGAAACAGGAGATGGGCAGCTGCAGCTTCCTGATAACAGCCCGAAATAATAAAAAACTGCGGTTGACAACCCGCTCGCCAGGCCTGTAAACTATCGCAAAGAGGAAATTTGTGGGAGAGGCCTTTGGCCAGCTGTAGTCTATTATATACTATATATGGATGCTATAATAGATGGATGGATGGATATTAATAAATAACATTGATCGAATATTTCTGATCTTTTGAACTACATTTACACAAAATTTTCATGCCAGCATGTTTGTGAAATAGAGCGTAATAAAAACGAGCAACGATAAATCTGTCGAGCCCAAGCAAAACAGCAGAGTCGAAAGGCCCCCGTCCACAGTCGTAACTCAATCTTAGTCGCGCAATTTCACCGACAATTTATTCGACATGAACTGTAGTTGTCAAATGCTGACATATGCGTATCGAAAATATAAATGATAGACAAAAAAGAGAGGCTGGAGACAACGGTGTTGCTCTGTATTGTGATCACGTACGTCGGAGACGCGAGACTTGGTGGAGACGCAATCTTCGACGAAAGAATTACATTATCCAAAGAAAGGAAAAATCACTAGTAGTTAATGCATGGAGGCGATGACGCTCGTGCATATATTGAAAGATTCGAGGAGAA